CATTTTGAAATGTCTACATAGTGTCTGGTCTCTTCTGTATCGTGTTGCCCCGCTTTCACCATGTCGTTTGTTCCGACTCGTTACATTTGCCCTACATAAGCCAGCACGATCCATGTAGGGATATCTACCCCACTGCCAATTACACTCTTCTCGAAAGGTGACATTGTACTGTGAAAGTGATCAGAATACGAAATAAATTACGTGCATTTTAATTGGTGGCAGATGTGTAAAAAAGGCATTACAAAAATCTTTTCTCCATAGTTAATGCACACACACAATTATTTTCGTGGGTTATCTCTAAATGGATATCGCATCCTGGACGAATGAATCGATGTCAAATCAATGGCAATCGATATTAATCGAATAATTTTCACGCCTAACCTCGGGGCAGATGGACCTGTATATAAAACAAAGCGAATGAGCAGTCCTATCGTTTACAATGGAGAAATTTATATTAAAAAAACACCCCACAGGACTGACTAGATAGAGGATCCAAAATAACGTATGGTGTTGTCTGGGCACATATCACTCTCATTGCGTGTGCAATTGTTCGCTCAAGAAGGGCTCACAAGCGATGTCAACCACACTTTTTAAGGAACGAAACGGGAGAATTTCTCCACGAATCTGGCTGTCACCGGATTAATCTAGTTGTAATTACTGGCAAAGCGTCGTACTCGGAATGTAAATGTTGCGGCTTTGCTCTCCAACACACAACGGGTGTGCTGTACTAGTAATGAATCGGCATGTTCCGTTTACGTGACAAAAGCTTACCAATTGGCTGTGCCGGGTGGCGGCGGGTTTCAACGACACATTAACGCGATCTAGCCCCCCCCCCGCCCCCTCTAAAAAAAAACCTGTATTATGGATTTTGATTTAAAGCTTTCGTGACTGCAAGGATTCATATTCTTGGTTCTTTCGGTAAAGTCACATAGAAAGGAAACAATAAAATAATACAAATATAAAACGATAATATTCTCACGACGTTTCGACTGCAACACAAGCAATCATCATCAGGTGTGAAAACCACAGCAAGAAAATTAGAAGTGGCGTTTTTTAATTTTTTTATTATTATATTGTTTCCCTCCTACGCGACTTTACCGAAAGAACCAAGAATACGTATTATGGATGTCATTTACGTTTTACATGTACCTTGCGATTCTCAAGGCAGGCCTCTGCTAGCTCAACCGCGAATGTTTCATTTTACGCTGGGCTGTAGGAATCTCCTCGGGTGTGGCGCCTAAGATCTTGAACTCTCCCACCAGACCTCAGATCGGCTCCGAGCACTGAAAGAGTTCAAGTAAACTCCGCGAGACAATTTTCCCCTCTCATTTTGATACACGTCTTGATTTTATATGCAAGACGAGCTTCGTTTAATTGATACTGTTAGTATAGTATTAGCTATGCCCCACCATTAGTGGGGAGGGCGAGTTTTTTTTACTCAAAAAAATAAATTGAATGAGCGGTTACAGCCCTTTGTCAACCCACACGGCTGGGTGAAAGCATCTCGCAAAGCGGATTTATAGTAGCTAGGGTTTGCTTGACGAGACGTCACCATTCTGGCCAATGTGGATTGGTGAAAGTGAACGAGCACAGGGACCGGTTCAGGCGTCACCCCCGTAGCCTGGATTCGAACTCTTACATTTTTGTCGGGTGCTCACACCCCCCCCCCAATGCGCTCCAAACGCTCCCTCCCCAGTTTGTTAATCATCTAACCAAGGCAATCGAACCTACGAGGCAGTTGAAAAAACACACCCGCGCTAATGCTGGAATACATTATAAAACGGGCACATGCATAACAATTGTTGCAATGAGACCGTATTCGAGGTAAATGGCTTAAGTACGATCGCAAAAGGCCACGCGGCAAGATGATGCCCCTCAATCCAGCAGTCGACAATAGGGCTAAAATGGACGAGTGACCGGCGTGCACAATGTTCAACGATGCCATTTCAAAAGACGATTCTTGATGGACGCTTGCGCAGTAGAGCGACGGGAATTAGGCCATCGCCTAGCAGTGGATAGACCCACGGCACACAATGCTAATTAATAATGCATCTCTCCCGCCACACGGACACACACACACAAAAAAACACAACCCTCGATGCCCGGACGTTAGAATTGATACCGCGCTTAGGAGAGGGAGCGGAGCAGGTGGTGGTCGCACAACGCTTCGCCCATTGGACGCGCACGTGTCACGTGCCCCCCCCCCCCCCGTTTCCTTTCGGTGACCCCCCAATGCAGCTTAAGCGCTCTACGTTAACTAAATCCCCCCCTCCCGCCACCAATCCTCGGCTTGTGGTGGTGAATAAGCGCGCACGTGTTCCCTCCTCCTGCTGATGCCGCCCTCCTCCTATCACTACTGCTGTCCCCCACGTGTTCCCTCCTCCTATCACTACTGCTGTCCCCCACGTGTTCCCTCCACCTATCACTACTGCTGCTGTCCCCCACGTGTTCCCTCCACCTATCACTGCTGCTGTCCCCCACGTGTTCCCTCCACCTATCACTACTGCTGCTGTCCCCCACGTGTTCCCTCCACCTATCACTACTGCTGTCCCCCACGTGTTCCCTCCACCTATCACTACTGCTGTCCCCCACGTGTTCCCTGTTACTACTGCTGCCGCCCTCCACGTGATTGTGTGCCCGAGTGCCCGATGCTCCATCAGCGTGGGGGAGCGGTTAAAGGCGTAGTATAACTTCGAAGCAGCGTTCGATTTCCGCCCACGGACAGCACCAGTGACGATTATCTCAACCGGTCATGGGCCCCCTCCCCCCTAGGTAGACTCGGCCTCAAGCAAGTTCCTCGGGGTTGCGGGCGTGTGAACATCGCCACTTGGGGAGACGAAGGCGGCCGGGCGCGGTGTTGGCCATCCACCCCCCGTTCGTGCGCCGTGCCGGCTTTCGTAGGTGCTGCTCGCGAACAGCGCTTGCCCCAACAAGGGGACATCAATTTATTACTTTTTATACCCCCTTCCACTCCTGCGTACGTACGCCTGACGCACCCCCCACCCCCCCCCCCGAAATCCTATAGAACGGACGATATTTAATCCACGCAGAAACGATCAATCATATTACGTATGTAAGCAAGCTGAAGAAACGGAATTGTGGCTCATTTGAAGGCCGATGTAGACAAATTATTATCGAGGCTTCACTCCCCCCTCCAGTTTCCTATGGGTACGCACATAGTCAGTACGCATTTGGGTTACCCCCCCCCATGCCACCTCCATGCGTACGTACTAAATGGATGGCCCGCGAGGCTACACGGGGGGATATTTTTATTTGATCCTATATTGGCCGTGGGACGGGTCGAAATAGCCACGACTGGATCAGAATCTTTAAATACGACTAAAAAGGAATCCGAGGAGCTACCAATATCTTGCTCACGCATGCCCTCAAGTATGGACGTGGGTCAGCGAGTAACAACGAATACAAAAAAAAATAAACACCGATGGGCGTGCAAAATAGAGGGTTAAACAAAAAAAGCAAAAGCGTAAGCAAGTCACTAAATATATTTATAACAAAAAATAATTACGGGAATTATATCGTGTAGGTTTTTAAAGGCCTCCATTCTCCCAAGGGGTCACCGACAACACCCCACCACCAACCATCATCATCATCATCATCCGCTGCGATGTTTGTCTTTAATGGACCCTAACCAACTGCGTAGGAGCCATCTCCGCGAAGGAGATTTCTCGGTTAAGTCGCAAAACAAATGTTTGGCGGCATTCGTCCATTCCTGCGTAGCCACACGAGACCATTTATATATATAAAAAAAAATGTGTATATTTAGCAAGCACGTCTTAAGGTTGCTATGATATCCAGCAGCACGCGCGTCTTTATGGTCGAAGCCAACTCGTGGCCGGTTTCGGCTACTACTCTGGGTTGTCTCGTCAGCAGAGTCGGGCACGAGTTTCTTTGTTTTAATGTACGGTAGTACCGCTGAACAGAGGGGGGAGTTTTAATTAGAGTTATCTTGCCCAATGGGGGGGGGGGGTCTGGTGTAAAACACAAAAAAATAACAACCCAAGAGCATCTCCGTTCGGCAAACCCCGAGATGTGCTGCTGATGAGATCCACGTGGAAGAACCCGGTCGAGTTTAGGGGGGGGTCAATTAACAAATACTGCAGACGTAGAGCGCCTCTGTTGGGTTTGACAAATGTTATTATTGAGAGCGTTTCCCATGTGTTCCACTGAAAAAAATATATGTAAAGCAAAAACGATCCACAAAACAGCCACCGTTCCGTCTTCTACAATAATTAAAATCGGGCTAAGATTAAAAAAATAAAACACTTTCTAAAAAGCCACACCTCATTGTCGCGCACTGGAATTGTTCGTAACGAATCACGAAACCGTTTGACTAATCATGTAAGCGTACATTTTACGTCTGCGCGCCTTTTAATTTATTATCGCTATTACGTACGATTTCAAAGTGCCAAGGAAAGGTTACGATTTAAACGCGATCAAAATCGGTAACACAAAATACGCAATTACCTCGCAAAACTTATAAACGCATCACCGTTTAAAATTGCAGGGTAACGACGGGGGCTTGTGTACGCACACTTATAGAATTGCAACAATTACCTCGGTAAATATTTTTTTAAAAAAAACGACATCGACTTACAACACGCGTAACAAAACGTGTACGTTTAAACATTCGTCTTTAATTTTTTTTAGCAACCTACGTTGTCTCGCCTATGCATTGCAACAATTATCTCGAAAAATAACAAAAAAAACGACATCGACTCACACAACACTTCGATGCGTACATATATTTTTGTCGCACGTTATAAAACATTCCTATTTATAACGTCTTAAAAAAAAATGAATAACCCATTTGTCTCGTCGCCAGCAAGCGACGTGCACGTTAACACGTGTTATACATTGCAATTATCTCGGAAAATAACTAAAAAAAAGACATCGTCTCACAACACTACGATGCGTACACATGTATATATTTTTTGCACGTTACAAATTATTTATTTACAACATCTATATTTGTAAAATACCTTTTTGTGTCTCGTCACCGAAGCGAACCCAGTCATTCTTCCCGAGCCTTTTGACTTGGAAGAGGAGGCGAGGGGCGGGGCGGGGCTAGTGGTGGGGGTGAGGGGCGGGGCTGCTTTAGCTGAAGGTGGGGGGTGGGGGTGTGAGAAAAGAAGGGAGGAGGAGGGGGGCAGGCACGAGCCAAGAGCGTTGATTGGCGGATGACCGCCACGTGACCGGGGAGTGTGTGAAAGAGCGCGCACGCGCGCAACGTTGTGGGGTTGGAGGTCGTTGGCGGGAAAAAAAAAATAATTAGCCGGCCCGAGATGTTACGAGGTAAAACAAAAAAATATTTATCTTTTTTTTAAAGCGAGATAATAAAACAAAATTACGAGATGGATTTGCAGCGCTGAGCGTGAGGCGATAGAGAAATACGCGACGACGACGATGATGATGAGGGAAAAGAAAGAGAAGTAACTTGCTGGACTCGGAAAGAGAAGAATGGAGCCGAGGACCATAAAACGAACGCCGTCAATGGTGGCTGCAGCGCGCGTGCGCCGCTTTATATACAGCGGATGGGCGAGGGGCGGGGGGGAGGTCATGACGTCGCGTGCGGGGGGGGGGGCGGAGTGGCAGTTTTGGGGGCGGGGCTTTGATAGCGATGGCCACACGGGTTCGATTCCCGTTTCGGCCCGCAATTCAATGTTTTAATAATTATTCCGGTATTTATAGTGCAACACTCTATGGGTTTATGACGATTTGGTAATGATACAGCGTTGGCAGTGGTGCACAAGCACAATAAATTACACCCTCAACAGATTTGTCAACAACACTGCTGTTTAAAGAACATCAGAATATTTTAAATATCCCGGGATAGGCAGGGGAGTGCGTGGAGGGGAGTGGAGTGAGATGAGAGGGGAGAGGCAGGAGAGAGCGTGGAGGGGAGTGGAGTGAGATGAGAGGGGAGAGGGGCAGGAGAGAGCGTGGAGGGGAGTGGAGTGAGATGAGAGGGGAGAGGTAGGAGAGCGCGTGGAGGGGAGTAGAGTGAGATGAGAGGGGAGAGGTAGGAGAGAGCGTGGAGGGGAGTGAGATGAGAGGGGAGAGGCAGGAGAGAGCGTGTAGAGGAGTGAGATGAGAGGGGAGAGGTAGCAGAGTCTGTGGAGTGGAGTGAGATGAGAGAGGTAGGAGAGTGCGTGGAGGTGAGTGGAGTGAGATGAGAGGGGAGAGGCAGGAGAGAGCGTGGAGGGGAGTGGAGTGAGTTGAGATGAGAGAGGTAGGAGAGAGCGTGGAGTGGAGTGAGATGAGAGGGGTAGGAGAGTGCGTGGAGGGGAGTTAGATGGGAGATGAGGCCGTAGGCTGGAGTGACGCTGTTTACAAACTATAAAATCAGAGACAAGCTGCTCCAACTCACCCTGCTCGCAACGCATAATTTCGCCATGAACCATTTACGTGGGTCTCTTTTAAAAAAAAAATACAGCACAGTGGTTATTATGTAGTGTTGACCATGAAGACACACACTTGAACTTGAAGGCAACACGCTTATTTACAATTCCCCACCAGGGTAACTAACTAAACGTACGCTTGCTCTACTGCCAGGTGATAGCTACACGGTTAACTATGTGACCAGCGGGTGAACTACACACGAACGGGTCAGCCAGCATATACACGTTCGCGTCCCCCTTGCGATTCGGTGAGCAAAAGCCACAGCAAGCATAATCTGCGCAATCCCGCTCCCTTGGAATCCGTCGTGTCAGCAAGAATTGATCGACTCGTGAATTGCTTGACAATGTAACACGACACGTGGCGGCGGCGGTGTGTGGTGGTGGGACGACACATCGTCCTGGCATGTGAGAAAGAAAAAAAAAGAAATGGAAAAAAAATGAAAGTCTCTCGCACGGAACGTAACCAACCGTGGATAGGAGACAACAAACTAAACACAGGCACCAAACGCGACCGTTACCGCTAACACGGGCGTGAGGAGCGTCGTTGCCACGATATATGTGTGTGTGTGCGTTAGAACTTCTTTCGCAACCGCACGTAGCCAACTTGAAGCACTTCCTGCTAATCGGAGGTGCTTCATCTGGTAAAAAAACCCGATACATCTGTGTGTGGGGGGGAGGGAGGGAGGACTGGGGAAGAGCTTTACAGCTCATCGGATTCTTCTACTATGGATTAATATTCTCGAACGGGGGAGGGAGGGGGGCCCACGGCGGTCATTCATAGCCTTTGGGTCGATGCGGCCCTGGCGTCCGTGGCGTGCGATTGCCCTTCCAGAACCGGGTTGCACGCACGTCGGAGCAAGGATTGGTCTTTGTTTTAAATGCCGCGTGTTTTTCTTTTCTTTTGTTGTTGGAAACAACGAGGAGCGATCACGCGGCGGGGGTGGGAAGGAACGTGGGGGAGGGAGGGAGGGAAAGGTAGGGCCAAAGAGTGATCACTTCGCGCTTGGCTTGAGATTTTTTTTTGGCTCGGAGTTCCTAATGAAAAAAACAATATCAGAACACAAAACGCAATGCTGTGACGCCGTGGCTAGGAGATGTTGACTACCTCGCCTGGTATGCGGGAGGTCGTCGGTTCGATCCCGACCCCTGCTGTATGTTTGGAGTTGGCGTGTCTCTGTCTCTCTCTCTCTCTCCCCCCGTGGTCGCGTGGATTTTTTACTCCGGTATCAATTTCCATGTGATGATGACGAGCCACCTTCGTTGAGCTCTCTTTTGTAGTCGCCAGGTCGCTCCCTGAAAACGAACTACATAGCTCAGTGGCGCCTTACCTGGTAAGAACAGGTCCCTGCAGGGTGGGCTGGTAGGAACATTGGAATTTTGCGCAATTTTATTTTTACACCCCAACAGCACGAGAATTCACTTCGTTAAAGTATTGAAAGGGGACGGACGGACGGACACATGAATCTATTGCAGGCTGGTACACTCAGTTTACAACTTCGTTCCTACCAGTATAAAAATATATATAGTTTAGTTGTATTGTTTAGTTTACGTATGTATGTACGGTATGTTTAACTTCTTTCGCACCATACGTAGCCAACCGTGCTAATCGGAGGAGCTACATCTGTGCAAAAAAAGAGACATCTGTGCAAAAAAGAGAGCCTTGCAGCTCATAGGATTCCTCCGCTATAAATAAATCATCTCGAACGGGGTGAGTTGAGAGACCGGTTTCATGGAAGACGGTGGGGGGGGAGATCATCATTGGGTCTTTCCCCCTTTTTCAACGAAGCTCTGGAGTGACGTTTGTTTTTTTACTCATGTTGGCTACTAGGGGTTGTCAGCTTGTGGGCTTACCAATACTGTGACTGAGACAAGTGCGGGCCACGTGATCGGACTCACCGCTCTCACCTCCTGCTGCTGTGCGGCCCGGTTCCTAACAGGCCACGGACTGGTTCCTAACAGGCCAAGGTCCGGTACCGGTCTGCGGCCCGGGGGTTGGGGACCCCTGGCCTAAAGGAAGGGCTTCCAAAGAATTAATGACCATGCCGGTGCGAGGAAAAGGAAGGACAATAAGCCACAAGGATGTTCACGAGAGAGAGAGAGACGGAGAGATATATAGAGAGGTTCTCGACCCTAGAGTGGTATTTTTGGGTTTAATATTCCACAGTGACGTGCTCCGTCATTCCAGGCCCACTTGGCGAGGCACAATGGAGATAAGTGGCCATCAATCAACTTTTCGGGTCGTTGGGTTCGTAGCTTAGCACGCTGACCACACTGCACCACCGCTCAACGCAACGACGCTGGTTTTTACCATTTCTGGCCATAATAACACAGTTGTGTTAAGATGTTAAAACACCAAACAGAAACCTTTTGCAAGGCATCATGTCTGCATTAACCACACATACTTGTGGTGAACATACAAAATAAACATGCTCTGGTAGTAGATGATGGCATTGTCTTTGAAACTGATTGGTCCACACCAGAGACAGCTTTCTTTAAAGCCTCGTCTCAAAGTGTTACACCAGAGGACGCCAAAAAGGCGAACAGCACAAAGACAATGCCACTATCAGGGCATTGAGAACTCGGGGTGAGCAGCTACATGATGGGACCTCCCTGGCCAGTATCAACATATGACAATAGGTCTTACCCTTTCTGGCAATAAACAGTTGTAATAATCTTGATTTGAAGCTTTCGTGACTGCAGGAATCCATACTCTGTGGTTCTTTCGGTAAAGTCACGTGGGTAGAAAAAAAGAACTGAAGACGGTCGCTTGTTGTTGCGATCGAAACGTCGTGATCTATTATTTTTTCTACCTACGTGACTTTACCGAAAGAACCAAAGAGTAATAAGCAGTTCTGTTAAGATGTTAAAACACCAAACTGTAACCTTTTTCAAGGAATCATGTCTGCAATAAGCACACACGGTGCTTGCAGTGAACATGCCAACAAAAAAAACACGCTCTGTTTTAGTATCTTAACACAACTGTTTCATTACCGTAAAGGATGAAACCTATTGTTTTATTTTGATACTGGCAAGGAAGGTCCCATACTGACGTGGGTTTTGCTTGCGGCCACCCGGGGAGCGGTGGCGCAGCGGTTAGCGCGCTGCGCTACGTACCCGGCCACCCGAGTTCGACTCCTGCTCACGGCCACGATTGCCTGAAGCGGTTTCCGCGCCTCCCCTAGGTCGACTCGGCCTCCGATGAGCCCCGTACCGTGGCGCGGCGTGCAAGCATCGCCACTGTTGGAGAGGCGCGGGGCACACCACCCCCTCGCGTGCCGTTCCGGCTTTCATAGGTGCACCACGATACCTCACCGATCTCGTCAAGGAGCTAGAAACCATCATCACGCGATACTCCGCGCATCCTCGCAGCAGCCACGGCTTTTGGCTGCTCAGCCATCGAACAGAGGCGGTGGTCACCGCGGCATCGCGCGGCGCTTCCAGATGCGCCGCCTCTGCGAGCCGTCTGGAACGCTCTTCCCTTCCGATGTTCGGAAGCTACTGGGAGCTATGATGCACCTTTAGATCATGATTATCATCATCGTCATCTCGATTGACAAACTCGTTTCTTTAGAACTGCTTTTTTGTGTTGAGTTTGTTGTCTTTCCCCACCCGCCGCACCTCGAATTAGCACGGTCGGTTACGTACGGTGCGAAAGAAGTTCAACATACATACACACTGCCCATAGACTAACACTGCCCATAGACTCAACACTGCCCATAGATTAACACTGCACCATAGACTCAACACTGCCCATAGACTCAACACTGCCCATAGACTCAACACTGCCCATAGACTCAACACTGCCCATAGACTCAACACTGCCCATAGACTCAACACTGCCCATAGACTCAACACTGCCCATAGACTCAACACTGCACCATAGACTCAACACTGCCCATAGACTCAACACTGCACCATAGACTCAGTACTACCCATAGACTCAACACTGCCCATAGACTCAACACTGCCCATAGACTCAACACTGCCCATAGAATCAACACTGCACATAGACTCAACACTGCACCATAGACTCAACACTGCCCATAGACTCAACACTGCACTATAGACTCAACACTGCGCCATAGACTCAGCACTGCCCATAGACTCAAC